AAATATAAATATAGATTACTCTGTAAGCGGCGTATAAAAGAAATATCTGCGGCATTCCTTGTAAATCATAAACGGGCTCTATGCTGAAATCCGCCTGAGACAAAATATATAATTAAAAAAAAAAAAAAAAAAAAAAAAAAAAAAAAAAAAAAAAAAAAAAAAAAAAAAAAAAAAAAAAAAAAAATAAATAAATAAATAAATAAATAAATAAATAAATAAATAAATTAAATAAATAAAATAAATAGACAAATTAAATAAATAAAAAAAAAATAAAAAAAAAATAAATAAAACAAATAAATAAATAAATTAAATAAATAAAGAAATAAATAAATTAATTAAATACAACTGTAAATAAGATGAAATTAGTAAGTAGAAGACGTAAAAAAAAATTAATAAACAAATACAAAATATATAAAATAAATAAATAAATAAATAAAATAAATAAAATAAATAAAATAAATAAACAAAACGAATCAAATTCAATAAATAAATAAATAAATAAATAAATAAATAAATAAATAAATGTTTACTGTGTTGAGGTGTGGGGGTTTCCACTTAAGAAGAAGAGCAATAACCATAAAACAGGTAAAAAAAACAATAAAAATAAACAAAAAAAAACAAAAAAAAACAGACAAATAAATAAAACAAATAAAACAAAACAAAACAAACAAAACAAAATAAAACAAAACAAAACAAAACAAATAAAATAAATAAATAAATAAATGTTTACTGTGTTGAGGTGTGGGGGTTTCCACTTAAGAAGAAGAGCAATAACCATAAAACAGGTAAAAAAAACAATAAAAATAAACAAAAAAAAAACAAAAAAAAACAGACAAATAAATAAAACAAATAAAACAAAACAAAACAAACAAAACAAAATNAAGAAGAAGAGCAATAACCATAAAACAGGTAAAAAAAACAATAAAAATAAACAAAAAAAAACAAAAAAAACAGACAAATAAATAAAACAAATAAAACAAAACAAAACAAACAAAACAAAACAAAACAAAACAAATAAAATAAATAAATAAATAAATAAATAAATAAATGTTTACTGTGTTGAGGTGTGGGGGTTTCCACTTAAGAAGAAAACTAATACGATCATAAAACAGGTAAAAAAAACAATAAAAATAAACAAAAAAAAACAAAAAAAAACAGAACAATAAAACAAACAAAACAAACAAAATAAAATAAACAAAACAAATAAAATAAAACAAAACAAAATAAATAAATAAATAAATGTTTACTGTGTTGAGGTGTGGGGGTTTCCACTTAAGAAGAAGAGGAGAAGTGCCTGGAATGTAATTTATAAATACAGGCGTAAATATGATGCCGTCAGAAGGATGAGGGAGACGCAGAGACAGACGCCGTATAGATTCTAGCTCATCTATATCGAAGAAATCCTAAAAAAAAAATAAATAAATAAATTATATTTGTTTGTTTCCTTATTCTCTATCTTTTTATCTATCTATTGATGTATTTATGTATTTAGGTTTTTGTTTTTTTATTTTTTTGTTTTTTTATGAGGGAGACGCAGAGACAGACGCCGTATAGATTCTAGCTCATCTATATCGAAGAAATCCTAAAAAAAAATAAATAAAATATATTTATTTATTTATGTGTTTATTCTCTATCTTTTTCTCTATCTTTTTATCTATCTATTGATATATTTATTTATTTAGTTTTTTATTTTTTTATTTTTTTGTTTTTTATGAGGGAGACGCAGAGACAGACGCCGTATAGATTCTAGCTCATCTATATCGAAGAAATCCTATAAACAAATAAATAAAATATATTTATTTATTTATTTATTTATTTGTTTCTTTATTCTCTATCTTTTTATCTATCTATTGATGTATTTATTTATTTAGGTTTTTGTTTTTTTATTTTTTTGTTTTTTTATGAGGGAGAAGCAGAGACAGGCGCCGTATAGATTCTAGCTCATCTATATCGAAGAAATCCTATAAACAAATAAATAAAATATATTTCTTTATTTCTTTATTTATTTATTTATTTATTTGTTTATTCTCTATCTTTTTATCTATCTATTGACGTATTTATTTATTATTTTTATTAGTTTTTTGTTTTTTTATTTTTTTATTTTTTTATGAGGGAGACGCAGAGAGAGACGCCGTATATATTCTAGCTCATCTATATCTAAACAAATAAATAAATAAAATATATTTATTTATTTATTTGTTTATTGTCTATCTGTTTATTTATTTATTTATTTATTTATTCTTTATTCTTTATCTTATTCTCTATCTTTTTATCTATCTATTGATATATTTATTTATTTATTTTATTTATTTTTTTATTTTTTATTTTTATTTTTTTATTTTTATATGGGGGAGACGCACAAAGAGATGTCGTATAGATTATAGACACAAATAAAATAAAAAAAAAATATTTGTCCGTTTATTTATTCTCTATCTTTTTATTTATTTATTTATTTATTTATTTATTTATTTATTTATTTATTTATTTATTTATTTATTTA